CGCTGTCTGTTGTGTCCCCCCGCCCCCCTCCCCAGCTCCACGTGGAGCCCCTGCAGCCACGGAGGTGCAAGTTTGGTGTGGGGTGGTGCTGAGCCGGGCTTGGGGTAACACAGCTGTAAGTGGCTGCAGGAGGGGGGTTCTTGTTCCCTTGCTTCAGCCATTCCTGCCTGAGAAGAGGAGGTGGGAGAGGAGGGGGCACATCCGTGTGAAGCAGGGAATGATCTTAGAGTGCTGGCCCACAAAGCAGCTTTCCTAGCTGGTTAGGCCACTGTTTCTCTGACGGCTGATGGGCAGTGAGACCAGGTGAAGAACTGGTTCTCTTTCTGTCCCCGGGCCAGAATGGCCTTCTAAGCTGGTTTAATTTTTGGAGTGTATTGAGAGGAGGTCTTTAATTTTTTTTTGGCTGGTTGCCTAAACTGTGCAAGACACTTTCCAGACCATTTTTCACTTTTTTTCCATCTTTAAAATGTTTTCTTCACTTATGCTTTTCTTTCTGATGGAAGCAGCTGTTGTCAGCAAAAGGTGTTGGAGTAGCAAGTGTCTATCCATAGACAGCATAAAGTAGCACTGGAGCCTGATATAACTGGATTTTTTTGGGGGTGCCCCACAATGAATTCTACCTAAAGTCTTACAGGTCTTTTAGGGTAAGAAATAGCTGTTTTGGCCAGAAGTATTTTCTATTATGGCTTCCCAAAGCTATTCCCAGTGCGTAATTCCTAATGAATGCTTTTCATCTTTTGTAGCACCGCAAAAATATGGTCAAGTGGAAATTTTGTTCCCTGATGTAGGTGGGAGAGGTTTTCCTTGGAAATGAAGGAGCGTGGAGAGTGAGGGTGGCTGCAAGGGTGAGACATACATGATCTTGGAGTTTGTGGGAAAGCCATTCCTTTACCATTACATGGCTCAATATAAAGATGCTTCTGTTTCACAGTGTGCTTACTTATTCTTACTTATTCTTTATCAAACCTGGTTGATTAGCCTTGTTCACATGTAGTGCCCAGCAACTGCTACACTAAACTTTTCATTTGCTTGCATGTTGGTGGAATTTTCCACCTACACTCGCTCCTTAAAATGCCTCTTCTTTGAGGAGCTGGTTTGGCTAATAAAAAAACCTGAAGTGCTGTGGCTGTTAGCGGGTTTTCTGGAGAAAAGGAACATATGTGCTCTGATTAGGGGTTAAATGCAAATTCTCCCTGGGTGGATTAAGGTCTGATTTCAAATGAAACCTAAAAAATAGAGCTTGCAACATGTAGTTTAATAATTTATGGAGTTAGTCTTGACTTTTGGTCAAATGTCATTGTTACTTAAATAGCTTTGCTGCCAACTAAATATATCAGTGCTGCAGAGAAGACCTAGATGAGGTTTTTGGGGTGGTTTTGATGCCAAAATGCCAACCCTTGATGACATTTTGGAGAATGTTGGAGAATTTGACAGGTTCCAGAAGCAAACCTTCTTTGTCCTGTGTTTGCTTTCTGCTGCCTTCAGCCCAGTGTATGTGGGTGTTGTCTTCTTTGGTTTCATCCCCGAGCATCGCTGCTTCAGTCCTGGGGTGGCTGAGCTGAGCCAGCGGTGTGGCTGGAGCCTGGAGGAGCAGCTGAATCACACAGTTCCTGAGTGGGGTGGCCGCGGGGAGAGTTTTGGAAGCCGCTGCAGGAGGTACGAGGTGGACTGGAACACAACAGGCATCAGCTGCACCGATCCCCTCGGCAGCCTCATGGGCAACCGAAGCACCGTCCCCCTTGGTCCCTGCCGGGACGGCTGGGTCTACGACTCCCCAGGGACATCTCTTGTGACTGAGGTAAAACCAAGTACCCCCCTTCCCTTGCCCCCTCAGTTACAGACAAGCTGAGGCATGTGGGGGAAAGTTGGTGTAGCCTAGGCTGTGTTAAAATGACACCTGCTTACCTGGACGAGGGGATCCTCTTGCACAACTTTGCACAGGGCGCTTTGCAAGTTGTCTTCCCTCTGTCCTTGCTGTGAAATGTTGCCTTGGCTGCTCAGGAGGCTTATATCTCCAGCTGGGGAGCAAAGCATATTTCAGCAAATAAATCCCTAGGTAGATAAAGTCCAGTTCTGAATGAAACTCCCGTCACATGAGAGGTCCGATTGGTGGAGGTGTGTAAACAGTGCCTGTGAGGGATCAGCGGCTCGCAGCACTACAAACAAAACCGGCTGATCCCCAGGTGGGTGCGCAGCACAGACCTCCCAATCTTCCTGGGATCCGTGCCCAGATGTGAAGGTCTTGATTTTGTTTCTTTTTTCTAAGGCAGAAAATTTTTTAAAGTTTGTTTCAAATATGATTGAATGACTATGGATGGGGGAAAGGTAATCACCCCGTACAACTAAACAGCTTAATTCAGGAATAAATTGCAGAAAATCCGATGTCTGTTTTGTGTTCTCAGAAGACGTGAATAAACTGAAAATGGTATTTAAGCTACTTAGGGTACTTTAGGGGTTTAGGTGCTTTAACTTTAAAAAAAAATCAGTATCTGGAATGACAAACTTGATCTTGTCATAGAAAGTTCCACCAAATATTTAGAGCTGGTGGAAGTCAGGATTCTTTCCCTCATATATCTAACACAAACACAGGTGCAGGTAAATTCTGTGCTCTAGCAACTTCAGCATTTATAGTTCTGTAAGAGGTTGGAGCTAGATTTTAGGTGGTGTACTGTAATTGTACTTCTTTTAATAAAATATGGACTGTGTGATATTAAAGTGAAGAAGTGAGACACCTCAAACAGAGGGTGACCCAGGACTTCTACAAAGCAGCAGCGCAGCAGGCACATCTTGCTGCAAAAGGCTCGAGGAGGTGCTGTGGTCCAGATGCTCCCACCATGATCTCTTGAGATTGAGGGAAGGTGAAAACTTCCAGTCTGTGTGGATTCGCGCAGTCATGCTCTTACGTCAGTTGTCTTCCCTTTTCTTCTGAAGGGGGTGCAAGGCCAGGCCCGCGGGCTGCTTCCTTCACAGGATAACCAGAAATGTCACACATCTCTCTGTGTGCGTTTTGGCAATGTGTTTTTCTTCTGGATGTGACTTTTTCCATGAAGGCTCTTGGGCTCTGTTACGTTGTCCCTTGCTCTGGCAGCTAAGCAAGGGGATGAATAGTGCAAAGTAAAGCATGTTACTTTGCTTGAAGAAAAATTTACACATGGAAGAATATCCTCATGGGAAGCCCCACAGAGCATCAGGAGGAGTATCTGGTTTTATGTTGATTAAAGATGCATGGCTTTAAATAAACCGAGCGACCAGTAGAATGGGAAGGGATTCTCAGTCATGTTAGGACAGCTTTTTGAAATAACTTATTCTCCAGTAGCTTTTATGTATATCTACTTAAGTAAGGTAAGAGAACTAAGGCCAGATGGCAAATATATGTGTGTACCCATGTGGTATAAAGCTTGGCCCTGGATACAAAATACCTGGTCTCCAGACACATTAGGCTGTAGGACAAGTTAGCTGAGCAAAAGGCCAGAGCAGAGAGGAAATGCTGTGGCCTCAAGGGCAGATGCAGATACCTCCTCCCACCCTCCTTCGGGGAGCTGGTGCTCCACAGGAAGCAGGACGAGGCAGGCTTCTACAAGCATCTACGACACCTTTAGTGAAGGCGTCACCCTTAGTCCTGAAGGGTGTGCAGGGACTACTGTGGCACGCAAGGGTATGAGGCAACCAGAACTGCTTAGAAATGTTCACCATCGGCCACAAAAAACCCACATTTGAAAAGCCCAGGGTGATCATCAGGTCCATGCTGATTTGATCAACAAGGCCTAATGCAAATTAGGGTCCTGATCTTGACAAGTAATAACTCAGTTATGTTCTTTCCAGTAATGAGAGATGAGACATGAATGGGAAATAACTGCTCAAGGGCTTGGCCCTGTTTATAATGTTGGACACTTAATTAAGTCAGTAGGGTTTCCAGGTGCTGATAAAATGGTCATTGACCCAGAAACAAATTTAAATCTTTAACTGAAGCAATGGAAACTTGTAGATGTGAGCCAGCTCCTTGTTTCACTCTCTTGCTGCTAACTGTGGTTGCTCCTTTAGTTTAACCTGGTGTGTGAGGACTCCTGGAAGCTGGACCTCTTTCAGTCTGCTGTGAATGCTGGGTTTTTTATTGGCTCCATAAACATTGGCTACATAGCAGACAGGTACGTGTGGGCTGGCAGTAAAACTCTCTGACCCCCTTTATCAGTGTTCAGCAGCTAAGCTTAAAAAAGGCAAAGAAAGGTTGTGCAACTGCTATTCATCTCTGCCCATCTCAGAAGGCAGCCAACCCCTGGATGTTCAGTTGCTGTATGAGGAGCAAGTACTCTGTCTCAGGTCATACCTGGTGGTTTGCACAAATCTCCCGCTTGGCGAGTCCTGCAGAGCCCATGAGGACTATTTTAGGACTGTACACCCCAAACTCCCTCCCATGCTACACCAGAGCCCTGGGGTGTTAACCGAAGCCAGGGAATGCTGGTTTGGAGCCCCCACTTGATCTGTCACACTCTGTGTGGCTGCAGCTTGGAAACATCTTGCTTCCTTTGGAGAAACTTTGAAATAGTAGACACAGAGATTGCCAGATAAGTACAGCAGCAGTCACTGTGAAAAAGCAGAAATCCCTGCATCCTGGCATCTTTAGCTCCCTGTTCAGAGCCAGCAGAGACAGCCGCCCTAGCCCAGGTGGCCGGTGTTAAAAAGAAACATGCCAGTATTTGAAGTCCCTTTCTGCCCTTGTTCCCCACCTGCCTAGGACTGCTAGTACAGCAGGTTCTGAGTTGCTCCAGCTGTGAAATGTGGCCCACTCACAACAAGATCCATACATATTAGATTTTTGGAGATTAGGATTGTGGTGTATAAATCTGTTATAAATCTGGTGCATGCAGACATATCAGAACGATAATATTAACCCATACTTATTTTTCACTGCCATTATAACAAAACAGATTACTAAGCTGCCTGTTCTGAAATTCAGAGATAACAGTCACAGTCCAAATATATGTAAATACAGGACTATTGTTCTTTAACTTAGGAAAATCTTCTTTTTCCTGAAAGCCTTTGTAGAATTTCAGAGAAAATGGCACAGTAATTTTTCAGGGAATAGAAAAGCAGACAAGTGAGTAATGGGCTAAGAATAAAAGTTAGTATGTATCTATCCCTTGTGTAGCAAAATTGGTTGGTGGTTTTTGGTTTTTTTTTTTTTTAAAGATGCACAAAGCTCTTATTAATTTAAAACACTTGTGTTTTCATGACCAGTGTTTTGGTTTACATGTATTATCTTCCAATCCAGGTTTGGCCGTAAATTTTGCCTCTTAAGTACAATTCTTGTGAACATTGTCTGTGGAATCCTTCTGGTCTTCGTGCCCACTTACCTGTGGATAGTCATCCTCCGGTTCTTGCAAGGGCTGGTCAGCAAGGGCTACTGGACTGCAGGCTACATCCTGGGTGAGTTCAGACCTTTTCCCAGGAGCAAGACTGGCTGCAGAAGATGAAGAAAAAAACAACCCAACACCCCCCCCCCCCAAAAAAAAACCCATTTAAAAAATGCCTCCCATGGCGTTTTATCAAGGAGTTTTCTCCCTCTTTGACTTCTCAGGATTTTTTCAAGCACTGTCATTAGGGAGATGTAACAGTAGTCTTGAAAGCTCAAGCAAGCAGTGGTGTATTAGGGCTGTTACCTCAAGATAGGTTTTCCCTTATGGTGCAGATCCCCTTTGCAGATCTGGGCCCTGGGGGTCCTCTCCCTCCCCTCGGGCAGGGGCTGGGGAAGGTGATGGCCCCGGGGCAGACTGCAGCCGCTCCAGCCCAGTCACAGGTGGGGTGATGACAGAGGAGGCCATGAAAGTAGCAGGTAGAGGGTGGGGAAAATTGGAGGCATTTTTATGACACAAAGAACATTCAAAGGCAAACAGAGGCTTTACAGCCTAAAAATAACCAAAGAACAGCATGTACTTGCTGAGAAAAAGACAAACTGTTTGGGTATCTGTGCACTTGTCTGAGCAGAGGCCAACCCGGGGATTGCAAAGCAACGCAAGGAGCCAGGCTGTGCTGACGCCTCTCCCAGTGCCTTGCGCTGATCGTGTCTGGTGGTGAAGCACAGCTGCATGGCAGCAGGGTTGGGGCCAGCTCAGGACCACTTTCTGGTGCATGGTAGAGCTGCCTGGGATTTCTCTGACTTCTCTGGTGTGGAGTTCAGGCTCTTGTCAAAAATACCCAACACCAAGCAATCACCAAAGCAGCAAATTAAATGTTTGAAATGATGCCCAGTAGACCCTTATCTGGATTAGGATGTCAGGTGGCTCTACCAATTAGTTCTTAGCGGTCCAGCTCACTGTGATAGTGGAAAAAATGTAAATGTCAACACCCTAAACTTCTATTAAGTCTTTTAGCAGGGACACCTTGCTAATGCAGTTATCCAGATGTCTGATATAAATAAAATAAAAACATCTAGCCCACAGTCCAGACCATCTTCTGCCAAGACATGATTGTTCCTTCCTGTGCATATTCTAGATGCTTGCTTGCCCTCTTAAATCTTTTTCTGGCACAAATGAAATCTTCATCACCTCTTCTGGGGAACTTCATTCCATTTTAGAACATGAAATCCCTATGAGGACAATGAATGCCTCTATCCTGATATTTTCCCTCAGTCACACCTTGTTACTTCTGGATTCTCCTTGAAACTCTTTCATGAGAGAGAAGTCACCCAGAATCAGCCCCAAAGCCCCTTTAAACTTGTATCCTCTCCCTAAGGGTAGCCAATACTGAATGCCCAGGGAAGGGCACAAGGACAGAGCAACCTTGTCACACTCTCCTGGGACACTTTTCTACCCTTCAGCTGCTTTTTGCTCAGTCCTACTGAGCCTGAGGAGAAGTCTTTGTCTCTGTGCATTCCTTGGCCAAGCAATATTAGCTAATCCGTGGCTCCAAAACGCAGCACTTCCTTCAGTTGCTAAGTAACTTCTTTCTGTTCTTTTTCTAATCAGTTTTCTTTCTTGAAATCACAAAACTAGATGCAAAATTTTGAGTGTGTTCGTGCCTGCCTGCCTGCTGGAATAGTTACTTTTAGCTTTGTATCAACAAGACTTAACCTGTGGCTCTATCCTGTGATGGGCAGTTGCAAAGTGCAGATGCGTCATGAATCCATTCCGACCAGGAAGCTGTATGCCATCCTGTGGTACAGGCATTTCTTGTATTCTTGGAGTGAGACGCAAGCTGAAAGGCTGCACTTAGAAAGCAAAATATGATGTTTTGTTATTGGCTTAGAGACATTATGTAGGTTGGCGTTAGATTTTATAACAAAATCCATCTGTATACTTTGAGGAATGTTTGTTTTACTTGGAGATTTGCACAACAGAGGACAGTACTGGATGCCTTAGGCCAGTGTAAGAGCAGGAACAGTGTTTTCTCCTCTGCTGAGAGTTTGGGTGACAGAAAAGCAAACCTTCCTCTGCGAGCATCAGGGGACTATTTTCTGGAGGCTTTATGCCAGGAAGCCCAGGATTACCAAGACGGTTTCTTCAGGGCATTAACGCAGCATTGGTCTTCCAGCCTCCCCGCAGAGGAAATTACTGCTGCGCTGAGCGGTCATGGCTGAGCTGTCATTCACCTGTTTCTGTGCACGTTTGCAGTGACGGAAGTCGTTGGTCCGAAGTACCGGAGGACGGTGGGCATCCTCTACCAGATGGCCTTCTCTGTTGGGCTCCTGGTGTTTGATGGGATTGCTTATGCCATCCCTCACTGGCGGCGGCTGCAGCTCACCGTCACCCTGCCAAGCTGCTTCTTCCTGCTCTATTACTGGTAAACAGGCTTTTGTTGTACCTCTGCCCATGATCCAAAACCCAGCTTCTTCTGCCTCCCAGGGCTTGATACTGAGGGAGATTTGGCACTGCTTTTCAGTGGTGTGTGCCTCTTAGTGCAAAGAGGAGGTACGCAGCAAAAAGGAGAGGGAAATAAGACCCCTCAGCAACTGAGATGTCATTGCAACTTAGCCTGTGTGCTGTACCTGACTTCTGTTTAAAAGAAAGACCACTTTGAAAAACACTGGGCGAGAGTGTTTTAATATCATATATTATCTTCATTAAGGTTTTCATAAAGGAAAAGAAATGCCTTGAAATAATTTAGTGGATCCTACACTGAAAAGATGGTAATTGAGAGATTGTTGAATGCTAACGTAACTATAACAGGTTGCTTGTATGTTCTTTTAAGGAAAAAACTTGCAGCTTTCTGTGGACCAAACAAAAGAAGGCACGTGGGTTCATCTTTGCTTTGGATTCTCTCCTCTCTTTTTGATTGGTATTTTTCAGTTTGAGTGCAATCTGAGAAATTGTCTGGATTGGTCGAGAGGTTAGGAATAGTAGAAAGAGATCCATGCTCTTCCTTTTTCCATATTTGTGAATTGGTAAGCCAGTTTTAGCTTGTTTACTTCTTCTTAAGCTGTGATGGCACAACTGGAAAATGACTCCCTAAAAGGAGCCAGTTTTTGCTGAACAGGCTGAACAAAATGATAGCACTACTCTCGCTCAAAGGCCTTCTCTGATTTATCTTTAGTAAACTCATCTCTGACTAAAGCCACTACCACAACTGCTCCTCTTCCCATTTCAGCAGTGGGATATATTACTTTTCATGGGGGGGAGGGATGACACTCCCCCCCACCCCCCAAAAAAAAAAAGAAAACCAAACCCCAAACAAATAAATCCCCCACCTGCTTCTATTCAACCAAAGCCTTCTCTCTGCAGTCTCCATACATGGGAGCACTATGTGAGCTTTATGTTTTGGTATATAATAGCATCCACTTGCATTGTAGGTGCCTCCCAGAGTCTCCCAGGTGGCTGATCTCTCAAGGAAAAAATGACAAAGCTATGAAAATTGTCAGTGATATGGCTAAAAAAAATCGGAAAAAGATGCCTTCCCATTTTGAGGTGAGCTCAGGGTTTGCTCATGCATGTAAGCAAGCATCATGATAGTGCCTTCCATCAGTTCCTCCCAACAGAAACTTACTGTACTTTGTACTTTGTACTGGCTCTTCCTCAGGATACTAAATTTGAAGAGGAAGATGGCAGAAAGCAGAGTCCTTCACTCATCGACCTTGTCAGGACACCACAGATGAGAAAAAACACATTCATTTTGATGTACAACTGGTAAGAAGATAATGTTGGAGAGCTGGTTTTGAAGCTCTGGTTACAAAGACTCCAGCAGGATACAGACCTCGGTCCTCCGACTGACTAACAAAGATGGGATACTCTTCTCTGCCTAGGTTCACGAGCTCCATCCTCTACCAGGGGCTCATCATGCACATGGGAATGGCCTCCGGGAACATGTATCTGGATTTCCTCTATTCTGCGCTTGTTGAGTTCCCAGCCGCCTTCATCATCATTGTCACCATCGACTGCGTTGGGCGGCGCTACCCCTGGGCTGTGGCAAACCTGGTGGCAGGTGCTGCCTGCCTTGTCACAGCCCTGATCCCAGAGGGTGAGTCACCTCTCTCTCCCTTTTCCCAAGGTCCAGCCCCAAAGGTCCGCAAACCCACCCCTGCCGTCGGGTGCTGCCTGCCTGACCTTTGGTAGCGCTCCTCGTGCTGCAGAAGTGAGATGAGGTTGATTTGTAGCAGTGCTAATAATAAATCTCAAAGCACCTTGGTTCCCCGTGCCACTTTGGGAGGGTCCCCGTGCCAAAGCTCATTCCCTCGTTCACACAGGTGAGACAAGGGCCCTTAAAAACATCAAGTGATATGGGCTCAAAGGTCACCCCTAAAATAACGCTGGTGTATTAACTGACTCATGCTAAACTGCTGGGATACTATTAAATGTGTTGAATGCATTTTCTCTGCAGACATACATTGGCTAAAACTGATTGCTGCATGCATTGGGAGACTGGGAATCACAATGTCTTTTGAAATGGTTTGCTTTGTAAACACCGAACTGTATCCAACATACATCAGGTAGGTGCATGCATGCTCCTCCCCATTGGCATTTGGCCTGGAAAAAAATAGGCCAATGTGTATGTTATGTTTTATGCTAAACTAAGTTATCCTCAAGTGCTTCAGAACTACACGGGTACTGCTGAACTCAAAGTAGGTGGAGCATAAGTAAAATGCTTTAAAAAGTAGATTCATGAAGACAACAAATGTACTTTAAGGCAGATGAAAACTCATGTGACTGAAATAAAGGGAAAAGTGGAAACAACCAGGGTGGATGAGGGTTCTGAAGTCCCATGTAGTGCTTGGATTTGTATCTTGTTTGAATCAAAATAACGTTTAAATGGATCTGTCCAGAGTGGAGTCTGCTATGGAGAATGTGTGTTAACTCAAGCCCTTCATCTGAGGACTGGATTTTTTCCCTATTTGTAAGTGGGCTGCAGGGTGAATAGCTCAGAAGTAGATGCGCTGTAGAAATCTAAATCTTGGGAGTTAAATCTTCTTCAAAATTTCTTTTTTCTGCCCAGTGACTGTAGGCCATTGCCTGCAGAGAAGAGGTCTGCACTGACTAAATGAATCTTACTCCTTCCTTCATTGGAGAGACACCGATTACCTGAAGCTACACAACATATGAAATCATGAGAATCTATTAATTTTATTTTTCTATCCGTAATGAATACAGTCGAGTTTTAAATTTTATTAATGGTGTATAGCAAACAGAAGGATCTTTGCCACCCCTTGCACCAGGTCACCTAAGATGTACTGAAGCTAATGGTTTTACATTTTTACTGTATCCAGAGACTCCCCTCAGACACCTTGGGCCTGATTCTCTTCTATCTTTAACCTTGGGAATTTGCTTACACCTGTGAAAATATAGATATACTCTCCTGTTCCTATTTGCTAAGCTTTTTATTCTTGCAATACTTAGGTCTAAATAACTTCTGCATGTGCCCACCAGTGGAAAACTAGGGCTTTGCAAACTATTTTGGCATTTTGTGGTCTACTAAGCTGCATGCCTGGTGCAAGGGTCAGAACTGTGATCCATGCTCTTCCGTCCGCAGTAGTGTGATGCTAACGTGATCCCTTTGCTGTTGAACCAGGAACCTTGGGGTGATGGTCTGCTCCTCCTTGTGTGATGTTGGTGGAGTCATCGTCCCATTCATTGTCTACAGATTGGTGGAAGTCTGGCATGATCTGCCACTAATAGTCTTCAGTAAGTGGCACCTTACCTCCTTGCCAGCTGCTCCTGGAGTGCAGCAGCAGGGCCCAAGTTTCAAAGTCAGGGAAAAGCAGCTAAGGCGGTTGCCCCAAATTCAGCAGAAGCCCCTCCCCATCTACAAAAGCCATAGCCTTCAGTTTATAACAACCTGGGGCTTGTTTATGCATTCATGTCTCGTTTGCCCTTATCATTGTTCCTTGCATTTTAAAGGAAGCTAGAGGTGAATACAGGTTCGACAGATGGCAAAGATCTGACACGTTCTAATGTTTTGATGAGATTATTATTTTGATGAATTCAAATCTGATCAGTTACTGCTCTTCTGTGAGGTATATTGCCTCAGTCCAGGAGCCAAAACCTAGAATTCCACATAATTGTCAATTTAATGGAGTACAAGCACAGCTGTTAGATTTCAGCTTTTTTGACAGCCTGTTAACTGGCTGTTCTCCAGCTATTTGGAAAGAGGTTGGTAAATAAATGCAAGATGACTGTTTGCAGACTAACGACCTGAACTCTCAGGTCAGGGTCTGCAAAACTTTTCTGAACCTTTAGATCAGCACACTATTTAAAGAAAAATATCTTGAGTGGCAATATAGAGTTTTTAACAGACAGCACGTTTAGGAGGGTGCTTGGCAGATTTAAAATATAGACACCAAACATGTACAAAGTGGGCAAAGGAAATTATCAATGGAGAAGTTAATCACATTGTATAGGAGATAACACATTGTGTATGTATTTTCTAAAGTTTGTTATGTAAATAGCAGAAAAATTGAATCTGTTTCCTGGCATACACTCAGACTAGAAAGGGTTCTTCCCTCTTTACAGTTGTCTGTCCAGCCTGAGATGCCATATTTCAGAGCATAACTCACAACTGACCTTGGCTCATTGCTTTCTCCACATGGCTGTCACATCCTCCAGAGGTGGCATGCCAGGTTTGCATACAGAGCCTTGACGTGCACATCTTGTATGAAGAACAAAATAAAATGCCATTTATGGGTCCTTTGGGCCAGACAGCAAGAAGGTGGTGTGTATGGTGGAAGTTGGTATATGCTAACAAGCTCTTTGTGCATCTGTTCAATTTGAAGCTGTTCTTGGTTTGCTTGCGGGTGGATTGGTGTTGCTTCTACCTGAAACTAAAGGAAGAGTTTTGCCTGAGACTGTTGAAGATGTTGAAAACTTTCATGGGTGAGTCAGGATGATGAACTCTTAGCAGCTTTCACTTGAAATTGTGCAAAATCCCTTCCCAGAGCTCCCTGGGGAAGCCCAGGGTTACTTGTCTGCCTCCTACGCTTCCAAGAAGTTACTAGTTAGTTCCCAGACTCTATCTGGAGAGATTTTCTTTTTACCACTTGTCTACCTAGGCATCTGAAAACAAGCAGCATAGGCCTTTATTGGCCTGTGAATAGCTGCACTAGTCTCTCAAACCCGCTGCAACACTATTATAAATGTGATTTGTGCTTAAAAAAACTAACTGATCTTGTGGAACAGAAAAAGGGCATTCTTGATAACAGCTACTAATGAGGTGAGCAAAGCACCAGTATCTACTGAAGAGTCAGAACAAATCTAGAGGATTTGAGCATTAGCTGCTTATTTTCTCTGGGGAAGAGGCAGGGCAACTGAAGAACATGAAGTTAGGTGCTCACTGGACACCTTCATTCCTGGTTTGCTGCTCATGTCTTGTTGTTCTTGCAGGCGAAGTGCTCCAAAGGCCAAAAAGATCTATCTCAATGTCCAAACGTCAGAAGTAGCACATGACTGAAGAAGGCATAGGTCTTTCTGGGTAGCCTGCTTTAAGGCACTAGCATGGAAAGGCAGATTGGAATAAATACTCTCTCCTGTCTTGCCTCTTTTTTTTGTCTGCCTATCCTTCATTTACAACATTTGGGGGTTTCTGATGGGATTGTCCCTATGCAGAGCTGCTTCCCTCTCTGTACACTACAATATAAATATATTTCAGAGCTGGGAACTTTTTGTACCAGCTGTGTGGACCTCAACATGGGGGCAGATCTTAACTTGGGGATGGTGGGGTCCATCCCAACAAAACTTTACAAGCCTCCATGAAGTCTGACTTTGTTGTTTTGTCTTATGAAGGGACAGCATAATGTAACAGAGGTTTATTTCTGTTATGGAGCCAAGATGACTACAAACCTCATACAGTCTTGGTACAACTTGCAACAGAATTGCACAGATGGGTTTTGGTTTGGTTTTTTTTTTGCTAGCCCTTACATGTTTTGGTGTTCATGTGAGTCCATGTGCCTGTACAGTAGCCCTCATCCAGGATTTTATTGGCTATCCTTAAACTCACAAAGATGGGCTTGTGGCAACTCCAGAGCGTGAAAAGGGGTGCATGGGAGAAAGACTCATAATCCTTCATAAAGTAAGAGCCTTTCTCAGTTTTCAGTGTGTAACCACTGAATATTCTTGTCGTAATATCATCTTCATAGTGGATAATCGATACTTTTTTTTTTGTATGAAACTGTTTTCCTAAGCCTCCATAGCATTATAAATGTGTCCATGCACAGACATGCAGAATTTTATTAAAAATATTATGTTGAGACTCCAGTCAGGGTGGGAAAAGCATTACAGCTGCCAGAGGACTGAGACCCCACCAGAGTCCTCTCCACTGGAGGCTTAGGATGGGGCTGCTGCCAGGAGAGAGCTGTATCTCTACGTGTTTGGAGGGGGCATACCTTTGGAGTGAGCTGGGCTCAGACTTAGGGACCTACAGGACTCTGAGCTGAGATTTGGCCAGGGGTCCTGTGCCTCAGGGAGCACTGAGGCAACGCTGGGTCTGCCATGAAATATCCAGCACCTTTCACAATTTTCCTAGTCCTTCCTACTTAGCAACTGTAATAGTCTTGTGATTGCAGAGGAAAACAGGCACAGCAATACTGTTGCTTCACTGTTTCTGTCTTGTTGGTCCCTAGCACTGTTGGCGAATGCTGTTTTTCAAGAAGGATGCTGTATGCAGGGCACCAGATACTGCTGCCATTTAATGATCATCTGCAGGGAGAGAGCTTCCAGCCGAGCAAAGTGTTGCTGGACTCTGGCGGGCAGTGTGCTATTTCCCCAGGATTGCTTCCTGCTGTGGCAGTAAGGTGATCTTGCCCTTGCTTTTGACTGGCCTGAGCTCCAGTTAATGTTCAGTTGTGTTGCTCTGAGGGCCTTAAAGGCAGGGAAGCATATTGTCCAGTGAAGCAGGACCATGACGAGGTTGCTCTGAGAAGGTAAGGACAGATCTGGAGTAAAGTGACTTTGGCCCAGGCAGTTGCAAAACTAATATTTGCTTGAGAGTCAGAGAGGACCAATCTGGTCCTGAGATGGGCAAGAGGGACAGTGGGCATGTAATTATGTCTCCTGTGGAGCGGGAGTCCTGCTGTGATTGCAGAGATGTCTCTGCTCTGCAACAAAAGAAATCTAGCAGAATAGCTGTCTGTCTTTATTATAGTTCATTGACTTAAAATCTGTTGAAAACTCTGTGCAGAAAGAAAATGGGGGAGGAGGCAAGAAGTCAAGCAAAGGAAATACTAGGGTGAATAAATGAGTAACTACAAAAGCTGACTCTTGGGACCCTTACCCATCACACTGGCATTTTTTTCCATAAGCACTCCTACTGCCACAGCAGGAGCTGAAGAGGTAGCAGGCTCTGGCGTGCCTTCACTTCACAGCCACCTGCAAGTTATGTTGGCATTTGATCCTGGTGGCACCTTAATGAGCACAAGAGCAAATGTGCTTCATCGATTTCCTTGCTGGCGACCTTGTCAATTCATGTATTACTTCCTGGAGTTGGGAAATCAATGAAACATGTAAAATCTGGTCCAGCTGCACATGGTTGCTCTCATAGTGCAGAGAGCTTTTGTGTCCTGGGTGTGTGGCAGGAGTGGATCTCCTCCAGGGTATGAGACAAGCTGTCTAACATCCTGCCTTAGATAAAACAACAGTTTGCCAGCTTCTCTTCCCATTAATAGCAGCTGAAGCTTGTCTTCTCCTGGGGCTGCTGGAGGGTAACCAGCTCAGCGGCAGGGCTGTCCCTAGGGTTTGGGAAGAAGCACTTCAGGGCCCAACCATTGGCTGGCTCAGGCAACCCAGGGAACACCTGGACATGGCTGTGTCCAGGTTAATGAAAGTGAGACTGGTCTTTTAAGAAGACCCTGTCCCCCTCCCAACTACTTAAAACCACAGTATACGGACAGTGCCTAAAGAGAACATAAAACCTCCATGTTTCAGGGTACCCACCAACCTTCAGTAACTGGGTTTTGCAAAGAATTGCTCTTTACTTTTACAAAGTTTCTGGTGTTCTCCCTGGCATCATCTGATGGACAGCCTGGCTGCAGATGTGGTCCAGGGCAGTGCTTTCTAAGCACTGTTCTTGTCCTCTGCTGTTGCTGTCAGCACCGACATCCAAATACCACCATGCCAGCATAGCTGCTATTTGGAGACTCCAGTGCTAATTTTATCCCATCAAACATGGCCACAGGCTCTGTGATCTATCAGAGACTCATTAAGGCTTATTGTCTGCAACCTGTAATCTTAACAAGGTTTTTTGTCAAGGTGTTCTTGTGTGCTTTTGTTCACAAATTGGCAGAAAATCACATCCTACAGGCCAGTACAAAGCTCATGTGGTTTCCAGTTTCCCTGTTTATTGTGTGATCAAAATAATGCATGTGCTAGATTTTATTTGCAACTTGCTCCAATACCATCCCTACTGTACAACACTGTGTCATCCTACATTCTGTAGATGTTTTAAAAGATGACGAAATTGGGCCTTTTCCCAGAATTGGGACTGGTCAGGAGATAAACGTGAATCCAGAGAATATATACAAGTGTATTGGGTTTGGGTGGCAAGGTTTTGGTAGCGGGGGAGCTACAGGAGTGGCTTCTGTGAGAAGCTGCTAGAAGCTTCCCCGGTGTCTGATAGAGCCAATGCCAGCTGGCTCCAAGATGGACCCACCGCTGGCCAAGGCCAAGCCCACGCCCACCAGTGATGATGGTAGCGCCTCTGGGATAACATATTTAAGAAGCTGGGAAAAAGAAACCCAACAGGACACAAACTGCAGCTGGAGTGAGGAGTGAGAATATGTGAGAGGAATGACTCTGCAGTTACCAAGGTCAATGAAGAAGGAGGAGGAGGAGGTGCTCCAGGCACTGGAGCAGAGATTCCCCTGCAGCCCATGGTGAAGACCATGGTGAGGCAGGCTGTGCCCCTGCAGCCCATGGAGGTCCACGGTGCAGCAGATATCCACCTGCAGCCCGGGGAGGACCCCACGACTGAGCAGGTGGATGTGCCCCAAGGAGTCTGTGACCCCATGGGAATCCCACGCTGGAGCAGGCTCCTGGCAGGACCTGTGACCCCATGGGGGACCCACACTGGAGCAGTCTGCTCCTGAAGAACTGCATCCTATGGGAAGGACCCACGCTGCAGAAGTTCACGGAGGACTGTCTCCCATGGGAGGGACCCCATGCTGGAGCAGGGTAAGAGTGTGAGGAATCCTCCCCTTGAGGAGGAAGGAGCGGCAGAGATGACGAGTGATGAACTGACTGCAACCCCCATTCCCCATCCCCCTGCGCTGCTCGGGGGGAGGAGGTAGAGAAAATTGGGAGTGAAGTTGAATCCAGAAAAAAGGGAGGGGTGGGCAGAAGGTGTTTTAAGATTTGGTTTTGTTTCTCATTACCCTACTCAGTTTTGATTGGCAATAAATTAAACAGATTTTCCCCAAATCGAGTCTGTTTTGCCCATGACGTTAATTGGTGAGTGAACTCCCTGTCCTTATCTTGACCCACAAGCTTTTCGTAATATTTTCTCTCCCTTGTCCAATTGAGAAGGGGAGTGATTGAGTGGCTTTGGTGAGCACTTGACATCCAGCCAGGGTAAACCCACCACAACTAATTAATGAATATGATGTGAATCATATGTTAAGTGCTTCCCAAGGGCTGTGGAGAGGACCCTTCAACTTTCAAAAGCAGTGATTTTCCAGCATGTTATTGAAGGAGATCTACTTAGAAAACTATACCTCCCGCCTCAGTCCTTATCCCTTACAGCTGTTTTGGAGTTTGGCCATGCAAAAAACCAAACTCACAGCATTAGGAAGACAAACATGCATAAACACAAGCATGAATATGCTTTAATATGCACAGTGTCCTGTTATTGTTCATGCTGCTCCCAGTGAGTGTCTGTGATGGGGCTTTCTCCCCCCGCCCCATCACTGATCCTTAATGATGTTGTAGTTGCACACAGCCCCCGACATCATGAGGCTTTGCTGCCTCCAACTCCTCTTTGCCTTCCTTTTCATTTTCCAGCTTCCCTAATATCCAGTCAAATTCTGGGATGCCAAAGCTTAAAAGCCAGTTACTGTCTATGTGCTTGCTTTCATGCAGAACCAGGTGTAGCCTGGAGGAGGTGAGCTGGGCTCACGAATGCACTCCCACTCACTACAGAAATGAGCTGTGAGTGAGCAGCCTGAAGACATTTTTAGTTTTATAACAAGCAGAAGAAAGTGTTCTTTCATTAATTTCGCACTCATTCTGGGAAAGTTGCTGCTGCCAGATGCCTGGGACGCGAGCAGCATGAATGTGTTTAGAAGGCAATAGAAAAATTTGTGGAAGGATGGTCCACGAGGGACAGAAGCAGAAATGCAGGCAGATGACCTCTGGCTCAGGAAGTCCCCAAGCCACAGACTGCTGGCAGCTGGGAGAGTGCAATGGGGAAAAGATCACTGAGTTGGCCAGGGTCGTCCCCTGCATGTGGGGTTGAGGGCTGGG